CTTCCAGCTCTCAAGCGATCGTCTCTATTAAAGCTTGATAATAAACTAATATATATCGTTTACATCTAAAAGTGAAGAAAAGATGTCAAAACACTTCAAAGCTCTATAGCCCCCCCCCCCCAATCCGATACACAGCATACGGTAATTTCACACAACAGGAGGAAAAAAACGCTCGACAAGCAAGTATTGAGATTTGAAAAATGGGAATGTGATGGAGAAAACTGAGTCGTACTGGAATCCCTGGGGAAAGATGGCATAAGGCGTATGGGCGATGTGTGGCGACGGGATGTCAAGGGTTGGGCTCAGTAAATAAGGAGATAGGAAGAAGAGAGGGATGTATTGAAGATGTTGAAAGATGTGAATCTGACTGGCAAAAGGAAAACATTTCAAGAGAGTATAAGAGCTACCCAAAGACTTGTGTAGGAAGGGGATTACCACGATGACATTGAAATTATTCCAAAAGGAGAGAATAAATAGGTAAGATAGTATGGGGAAGAAGCAGGAAGCGTCAGAACTTTGCAAAATTGCATCATGCTTTGTCATCACATATATGGTGGTAACTCATGCTTATCCAAGGAAACCGTTGTTAGGATAACAGTTCATATCAATCAGAGTGTAACTGGTAACTGGTAAAGGGCTGAGTATGGAAGACAATAAGGAAGTGGCACTGAGGAAATGAAGAAAACCAAAAGAAATTGCTGCAGAATCTCCCCAAGGGCAGATTTTTGGTGAACATAATGCAGAGTGGGGAGCGATGGCGTTTCGGACGAAAACCGGATGAACCTTGAATGAATTTTACTCAACTCCAAGTGTAACCTACATACTACATCCGTCAACCTCGAAAGCTGGGAATTAACGGTCTGCTCAGTATGGTGTGAGCTGATATTCACTGAAAGAGAGACCTATATAGGGATAAATATGGTGTCAACGAAAAAACGGAAGAAACATGCCGTCATGCCAATCCAGCAACGCGCTATGGGTCTTTCCTTGGCAAAAAGCTTCTTTGATTGGATGGTCAGTCCAGGCAGCCAATCAGAGACGCTATACCTGAGTTGTGACGCTTGAGACGGCCCACCATTTTAAGAAATTGTCAGATTTGGCTGAAAAATACAGCAATGGTAGAAGGCACGAAAAGATTGATAATCGTGCCATTAGCAGGTACTTCAAGAGCGAAACTCAGCTGTCCTTGTCTCCTTGTCGCCGGTCGTAAAAGCAAGGGTTAAATGTAGAGTGTTCAATTTCCGTTGCACTTTGTAATCGAGATCCATTCCATTTCAATGGGTAATGTCACGGTCAGGGAAACTGCAAACAATGGAGCGGAAACAAGAGAAAAGGAAGCAAAGGAAGTAGCTGTAATGGGGTTCCAGCTAGTGCTCATCTTATTACTAAAACGAAATGGATGAAAGATTTATCGTTGGGGTAAGACTATGAGGTCACGTAGCTTCCATCCAATTCAAGCATTCCCTTGGCGTGAATGTGAGTACGCATGATTGAGTTCTATACAAATGAGAGGTAGACTGGAGACATAATTGACGCGGGCATGAGATGATGCTCAAGATTGCATTCATTGGCGGACTACGTATCTCTAGGGACTAATTCATCCTGCAAATCACTACTGCAATAGTTTACACAATCAAATTCCTTGAAAAGCTGGTTGGCTGAGGAATATGGCATGCTGAGCACTCAGCCGTTGTGTGATTGCTGTAATAAAGCACAATAAAACTGTCCCAGAGGGCTGAAAGGTCTGGTAAGTCTGGGCGAGTATCGATCAGGGATTTGATCTAGGATCACCACTTGCATCCCTGGCCACTGCACCTCCCCCGCATCCGACTGTTCGAAGAACAAGCTCAAACCTAGTTTTACCGCCTGCTAAGAAGGTAATTAACTGGTGTCTAGTCAAGCTGAAGGGAGGAACTCAAACTTTGTAGGAGGCATCTTCTATGCGTCGTCAAGGGTTCCAAGAGAACCAAGGCTACCTCCAAATCCAATGGATCGAATTTTTCCAATTTCTCCTCGAGAGAGAGAATGCAGACTATCTTGCTTCAATATAAAACCTGCATTACCGCTGTTACAAGCCAGCTGTGCAGCTTTGATGAAGGGATCTGTCATGTGGATGGCATGTCATGTCATGTCAGCACCCGCATAGCAATGCACTTCATGCATTTCTCAGAGCTTTACGTGGCATAGAATCTGTGGGGCAATACATTAAATGGCCCCATAATATCAATAGGTAAGTATTGGGGCTGTAGAAAAAGCGGGGCCATTCAATCTGATCATTAATTTGTTGTTCCAATAACCCAGCAGTAATTTCCCAATCTGCTAGAATGTGGAGACGGGGGATTACTAGTAATAAGAAGACTACATAGCTCTCTTTGCACCTTAGATACGAGCTAGTGAAACAGCCATTATCTGAGGCTACAAGGCCAAGTAGCTATGAAATGTAATAAATGAGTTCAGTTTGATTAAGATGAGATAGCTAGCAAATCATTGAATGAGCTCCGAAAGCTCCTGTAAAAGGCATTTGCATGGCGCGAGCACAGAAGTTCCCCAAAAATTACCAATTTCTAGCCAAGCGGATGGAACGAATTGAAACAGAGGCAAAGACTGGACGAATCTTCTGGATGGGTAGCTAAGGACCCCAAGAGGACAAGGCAATTCAGTCTTGTCAGCCTTTCAGGGGAAATCCGAAAAAAACCTGAGGCTGACGAATGAGATTGCCATGATTGAGCAGCAACCCATGTGAAATCTAGCTAGAATCAAAGGGGATAAACATGAATCTGTTGAGGTTGGGGTGACTATAGCAGATTACTAGTCAGCTGAATGAGGGAATGAACCAGGTGGCCGGTGATTAAGGCATGAGCGCATTCGCAATAACAAATACTCGATTATATGGCAAGAAAAGGCAATGAAGCGGAAGCTCATTTTCCTAAAAGGTGGAATACGGTGAAACTCGAAATCGAACCCTTCGTGCTGCAACCATTGATGATGGTACTAGTTCTTCTGGAAGTGCGCCATGCATTCGAGTTCATGCTGAGTCGATCAGATGGTGGATAGCGGATGGACTTATACAATGAATTATATTAACAATTTGTGTCCGCATTAATACAAATACAAAGTGCAGGTATTAAGCTGGGAGCAAGGGAATTGCATGACCGTTGGTGTTTGTGGCAATCCAAACTCCGACCAGAGTCACTGTCAACTGAGCTGGATACCTTCAAAAAAATTGTCGCTTCCGAATTCTACTGCAACAAAAATTGCAATAAGATGTTCGTGTCTACCGTATGGTCGCCTTAAGTCACTTACTTTAGCTCCACTCAAGCTGAAAGAGAGCGGTTTTTGAGATTCCGTTTTAGGATGAACCTGTGGCCCAAGAGCATAGCACGTGGGACACTGTCGGGTAGAGAAACGACCTCGACAGGGCATTATTAGGGCTCCAAACCGGTTCACCAACATACTTACCCAAAAGCGACACAATGTGCACCATTCACAACTAAGCATTAGACCGCTGACGAATAGTACGCCTATGTGGGAGACACCCAGACGTTTGTAGACCCATGACCTCCTATAACACCCTTCTACTACTTAATTGAAGTCTAATTTTCTTGGAATCCTCCGATGCTCGTGCTTTTACCCCTACTTTTGCACTCTTCTGCACAATAACTTACAGTATTTAACTTAACCTTGACTTCTTGGAGTTATTGTGAACTGTGCTTTCAAACCACAAGCAGAACCAAAGAAAACGCATTGCTGAATTACGTCGAAGTAAACATTCCTATCAAATTTCATGAGAATATGCGAACCCAAATTATATTTTTATTAAATAAGAACTTGACCAAGCAATTTTGACAAATGCAGCAATAAGTTTATTACTTAAACAAGAAACAAACAATAAGAAAATGTAAAGAAACCTAAGCATGCGTCTCACACGTAACAATCAAGCCGGCGCTACGCACCAAGTGAAAGCTTGTAGTAACAATGATTATTCATTGCAAGGTAAAATGCCGATATATACACACAAAAATCGTGATGCAGTAGATCATTCAAACACATATATGCCTAATATTAAGCAGTTAAAAACCGGTAAAATTCTATCTGGCACAAACAAACCTGATGTTAATTATCATTATCACCTCTAATATTATCTTCACCTTCGGCAGATATAACTAAGTGTAGCTATTAGTATACAAAATACAGAAAGACCAACAAAAACAAACAATTCGAATAAAGGACTCAACACACAACGATGGGGCGCGGTGGCGGGTGCGATGCGGCCATTTAGTGGATCGATAGGCACCGCTTAGCCAGTCATCGATCGGTAGGTCAGGTCTTGTCAAAACCACTCAAGCGAATATTGGATTGCTTAGTTTTGAACGAGATATCGTACGATGGCGCTTTTGGACGATCCGGACTTCTCATTAAATTCGGCGATTGCCT